TTGTCGCAGCAGTTGTGGTGTGGGCGGGACCCGGGCTTTGCCTTCTGATTGGTGGCGATATATGCTGAGGAGCAGTGCCATCAGCCATACACTAAGGGAGTGCATTTTAGAATTAGAACTTTGGCACCCACTATTCAATTATATATAAGGAGAGATCAGAGGTCTTGAACTCATTTGTTATGAGGGCCGGATCCGACATAAATGTCACTTTGTTGGGCCAAACCAATTGTGCCATAAAACATAATGCCAGGTACCAGAGCTATAAAAAACAGGTTGCTTACCTGTAAAACTGGTGATCTTCGAGTGGTCATCTGAAAGGAACTGGCGGGATGTTCGCGCCCACCCCTCTGGGCATGCGCGGTGGGGTTCCTGCGCATGCTTGAGGGACTGGGCGCGAAAATCTGTTAAAAGAGCTTGCTACAGCACCGATCGATCCAGCGCATGCGCACTAGACCCATTGGTGTGAAGCACAGAGACCACGTCGAAGATCTGTAAGGACAGCAGCTGGTAAGCTCTGAGTTGGTGTATCCTCACTGCAAGCCCTCATGCACTGGGAGGGAGGTGCAAAGGAAAACCAGTATGGTTGGACTGGACAACCAGCAGTGCAGCACTGGGCAGACGCTCCTACACTGCCTGACCTCTGCGGACAAAGCTGTTCCGCCATGCTGAAGCCATAGTTAGGGTGGCTCCGCCCACTCCCCCCGGAGCAATCTCCTGTTCCCTCCCTTACACTAGATGTTTGCGGGCTGCATAAAAGCCCTGGATGGGCCAGATCCGGCCCCCGGGTCTTATGTTTGACACCCCTGCATTAGATTTTTCACAGGGGGAATGTACAATGAGATCAAGAGAAGATTTGACGGTCAAGAATAGAGTTGTCAATGGTTTTTTATGCACAACTACTGGAAAGGTTTAAAGTAGATTAAAAGATCTTATGGCTTTGATAAATCTAAGACTGAATCTGAAATGGAACTATGTACGAATGATTTACACGTTATTGCAAAAATGTATAAACTCTTGTTGAAATCTGAGACAGAAAGAACAGCTGAAAGAATTTATGATAAAATGGGCTAAAAATATACAAATGGAACAGTGGGAAAATATGTGGTTGAAAGGTCTTAAATTTACATTAAGTTCTAGTCTGAAAGAGAATTTTTATAAAATGTATCGCTGGTTTAGGTCTCCAGAAAAATTAGCTAAAATGTACAGAAATATATTGAACAGATGTTGGAAATGTGAACAACATGGACATTCTACCACCTATGGTGGACATGTAATAAAGCAAAAAAATTCTGGATACAAATACATTCATTTATCCAGAATGTCTGAAATCAGAGGCCTTTTGTTGGGACTAATGGACAGACACATAGAAAACAGACATGGAACTTTGTTTTTGTATATGACAAATGACAGCAAGTTTATTATATGTGCAAAAATGGGAAACTATCAGTACCTACAGTAAAGGATTGGCTGATGAAGATGATGGAACTTGCTAACAGCTTCTGCCAAATATTTCTCCAGTGTCCTTTGTCTGTATAAGGCTGTTCTGTAGCTTTCCTTTCTTTCAAAATACATTTTATTGCAGTTTCATCATCATATACAGAGTACATATATACTGTTCAATATGATCGTAACTCAAATATAAAGCACAACAAAATTCAAATATTAGCTAGTATAAATGACTGTAAATGGAAATGTCTTAACAGACTTTCTGCACAAAACAGAAAAAAAATGAACTGATGACTCATGGTTTTGAAGACTAATGGGGGGAACTGATTATAGAAAAAAGAGATGTCTTTCCTTTTGTATTTGTACTTGTAGAGAAAATTGGAAGTGTTTCATTTATACTTTATTTTTCTACTTTTTTTTACTACTTTTATTGCTTTTCTCTTTGTTTTATTTGTTGTTCAAAAAATTCTCATTAAAATTTATATGAAAGAGATGGGTTTGGGCAAGATGAGGCCTGCACACTATATTTGTTGCTGAACTCCCAGAACACCAGGCTTCACGGGACGGGAATTCCAGGGTCCCTTTCTCCACTGATTTTTAAACCAGTACATCGGGGAAGATGTTACTTGCAGAAGTAACCCAGATGACAGATGCCCACATGCTTATCAAGAACGTTTGTGATAATACCTCTCTCTGTTTTTGGAGTCTCGTCCCATCGATTCTTCCGTGCGCTGGAAGTTGCACCCCCGTGGCCAGGGGTCGCGTGACCAGGTGTGTCACGCCCAGGGGTTGCTGCTCCGGCTGGAGTATGACTGGGAGTCGGATCCCATATTTTCGATCCAGGGGTTGCCCCGGGTGTCTCACTGCCCTTTGCACGGCCAGGCGTTTCGTCCCATCGCAGTGATGGGGTATGCCCGGGGGTCTGAACAAGGAAGCAAAAAAAATAAAACTTGTAGCCATTTAAACTTGTAGCAAAGCACAGGATCCATTATGGATTCAACTGGAAAAGGATCAGCCAATTACAGGTATAGTCCCTGGTGAGTTGCTGCACAACAGGGGGAGGGGAGAATCCAGAGCAGCCATCATTTTAGTTGGTTGCAGCAAAAGGTCACAAGGAAGACTCTGACACACAAAGACAAAAGCATTTATTTGAAGGAGAAGCCTTCGTAGGGCAGAGTCAGAATGTCAGACAGAGGAAAGCTACACAGTGGGTGAAATTAAGAATAAATTGGGGAAGAAGAAGAGGAGGGGGGAGGGAGGAGGAGGAGATTGGATTTATACCCCGCCCTTCACTCTGAGTCTCAGAGCAGCTTACAAACTCCTTTCCCTTCCCCTCCCCACAATTTGTAGGTGGGGCTGAGAGAGCTCTGACAGAAACGGCTCTTTTTCAAGGACAGCTCTGACAGAACTGTGGCTTGCCCAAGGTCCTCCAGCAGGTGCAAGTGGAGGAGTGGGGAATCAAACCCGGTTCTCCCAGATTAGAGTCCGCGCACTTAACCACGACACCAAGCAAGCAATGGCATAAGGGGGATTGTGAGGAGGGGGGGGTTTACAGCAGAAGCAGACGACACAAGAGCCCGAGACTATCATCTCCTGCTAATCCCGCAAAACCCCCCCCCCTTTACCTCAGCTTGATCCCAGCTTGACAATTTCTTCGGTGTGGTCCCAGGAGTCTGGTCAGCAGTCTGATCCCAACGCCGCTTACGTTTGGATGGAGGCTGGGATGCGGCACCATTGACGACTTTCAGTTCCCCCGCCTTGGCCTTCTCTGCTAGCTGCTGCCTTATCTCCCTCTGTGACAAGAGGAAAACAATCGATTTGACCAAGGCATTCAAGTCCTCCAACACGACCCGTTGCAAAATAATTCCACCCCTTAGCTAACAGTGTATGCTAGCTGCTTTTTTGGGGGGGTCACTTGGAACACGTTTGACGGGCCAAGACTAGAGATGTGAAGGCCCGGAAAAAAAACGGAAAAATTTGGGAAAAAACCGTTTTCTTCCCGAAAAATTGGAAACATTGAAAAAAGAAAAGAAAAAAATTGATTATGGAACGTTTTATTTTAACATGATGAATAAAATATTTTAAGACAAGGTGTTCAAATATTTTCCAAATCATTTCTAAAATATATATATGGTATCAGATTGATCTAATTTCTGTGCACTGAGGACAAGCAAGTCCTAGGTTACAAACTGAACTCTCCAATGCAAGAACAAGATGCATTTCTTCCTTTAGGAGGTGCGATTGTCAGAAGAAAATAAAAAAGTTTCAGTTTTGTTTTTGCATGTGGGTGGGTATTCTGCGTGCAATAATTGTTTGGATACACTATATTTTTAATATGCTAGTTGTGATAATTTCATGCCAAGTAAAAATGTCCATAGTAATATTTTATGTTCCTAAAGTAACAGAATGACTTTCAATCTAGAAAAGACAAAAGAAATGCTAATGTAGCATTTTTTTCAATTTTTCCAAAAATTTCCATTTTTTTCTGGAAAAAAACGGTTTTTTTCCCGAGCTTCAAAATTTCCGGAAATTTTACATCTCTAGCCAAGACCCAAGCGCACTCCCCTTTCATGTCCCGCGGTTGGAGTACTGCAGTTAAAATTCCGGGGTGAATCGGTGTCACCAGATTGTGATCTCGTTAGAGATTAACTTGTGGCCCAGCGCAACGAAAGGAACCAAATAATTATGCCAATGTTGTGTTGCTGAATAATGATTTCTTGGGCAGCAGTTTGATAAGAAGATGGAATGAAGATGGTAAACCCTTGTATTCCAGATTCGACAGGGAAAGGGATTTTTCTTAGTGAACCTACATCCTCTTCATGTGCTAATTCTGTGGACGTTGTTTCGGTGTGCAGCAGCGGTGAAAAAGACAAGCTCCGTGTTGGGGATGATTGGGAAAAGGAACGATGACAGAACAGCCAATGCTGTAATCACCTTCAACTGAGCTACGGCCCAGACCCCTTTTGGAGTACTGTGTGCAGTTCCAGTTGCCGTATTGCAAAAAGGATATTACAGAACTGGAAAAAAACACAGAAAAGGGCAACCTGGATGATCAAGGAGTTGAAGCACCTTTCTTATGAGGAAAGGGTTTATGAGTCTGGGACTTTTTAACTGAGGGGGAAAGGCTGGTGGGGGAGAGGCACAAGGAACATTAATAAAATTAAGCATGGGGTGAAGGGTAGATAGGGCAAACTTCTTCACCCTGTCCTCAGAGGCAGTTTATGAAGCTGATAGGCAATATTTTATTTTATTTATTTATTTTGCGATTTTTATCCCGCCCTATCCAGTAGCTCAGGGCGGCTAACAACATCATAAATACTAAAACAATAAAAACGATTTTTATACAGTAAAATTGGTGCTAAAATCTATGCAGTCTATACAATTTACAAAATGCTCAGCGACTTGTTCTTGTGATCTTGATGGTAAACGCGTCCCAGCTTAAGCAACTGATCGACCTCATCGGGTCTCATAGGGTCTGGTGGATGGACGGTGCGGCGAGGTGGTATATGATGGTAGTGGCGGCGGCTCCTATCCAAAGGCCTGGTGGAAGAGCTCCGTCTTGCAGGCCCTGCGGAACTGCACTAGGTCCCGCAGGGCCCGTGACGGGATGCTGGACTGGATGGACTACTGGTCTGATCCAGCAGGGCTCTTCTGAGGTTCTTCTCAGGGGAAGGTCTCGGCCTCTCTGCCCTGTTGTTGGCTGTCCAGGGGAACTGGTTGGTCACTGTCTGAGATGGGATGCTGGACTGGATGGACTACTGGTCTGATCCAGCAGGGCTCTTCTGAGGTTCTTCTCAGGGGAAGGCCTCGGCCTCTCTGCCCTGCTGTTGGCCCTCCAGAGGAACTGGTTGGTCACTGTGTGAGACAGGAGGCTGGACTAGATGGACCCTTACTGGTCTGATCCAGCAGGGCTCTTATGCTGACTTCACTGCCAATAGATGTAGCAATGGCCACGAGCACAGATGGCTTTAACAGGGCATTAGATCTATCAAAAAGAGGTCAATCATTGGTTACCAGCTGCGGTGAGTAAAGAGGACCTTCAGGCAGCAGGCCTCTGGATACCTGCAGGAGGCAACAGGAGGGGAGACCCTTGGGCCTCTATGCCCTGTTTACGGGCCCTCCAGGACAACTGGCTGGTCACTGTGTCAAACAAGATACTGCACTAGACGGACCACTGGCCTGATCCAGCAAGGCTCTTCTTATGTTCTCGCACAAATGTTGATTTGTTTCATCTATATGGCAGTGATATTTTTCAAATCTGACACTGGAAAAAGATCGTTGCCACAGTTGATTCTAAGGGAGGGGATGAGCTCCGTTTTGAATGCTGTGTATTTTATGTTGTCGAAGGATTTCACGGCCGGAGTTCATTACCTGTTGTAGATTTTCCGGGTTGTATGGCAGTGATCTTGGCATTGTAGGACAGGAAACAATCCATATCCAAAAGAACCTCCTCAGGAAAGCTCCTCCATTAGCATGCTCATAGCCTGGGGAACTCCTACAAGATAATGACTCAGCCCCACCCCACCTTCCTGAGTAGATATAAATTACCTGCCTACCATTTTTCTTCTCACCTTGACACAGAGAGTACTCCCTCTTTCTGTGTTATACCTCTGAGGATGCCAGTCACAGCTGCTGGCGAAACGTCAGTTCCTACGATGCCAAGACCACGGCCAGACAGCCCGGAAAATCTACAACAGCTGTGTATTTTGTTTTACTGACTAGCCAAGTTAGATAACATGTTCACCAACCTCCTCTTTTGTTAAATGTTGTTCACGCATTACATCCATATATGTTCTGGCATTCATTTTAGGATCAGGTGTCTTCCCGCCTGCAGAGGAGAACAGCGACAGGACAGAAGCATAATAAGCGTGGGACCGGCTGAAACGTCAGTGCTTAAAAACGCCCTGCTCTAATAATTACGTTAACGTAAAAAAAAAATCAATTAATTTTACTGTTCTGACTGAATTTCTTTTTTAAAAAAAGGTTACACGTGTCTCTTACGTTTATTCACTTTGCTGATCAATTTAACCTGTTTGAACACAAACATAACTACAACGGTTTAAAAACAAATATATATATATATGTATTTTTTTTAAAAAAGGAGATAAGAATGATAAAATGACAGCACAGATTAAAAGAGTCTTCAGAAGTGATGGGTTCCTGGGTTGCTAATCCGGAATACGTACACTTTCGTGCCTTTGTCTCCACCAGCAGTTCTGACTTCAAGCGGCAGAATAGAAGCCTAGAAAATTATCTCTTTACCATTAGTAACACTTTGGAAAGATATTTATCATCAACACATTACCTTGTTCAAGCTGATAAAAGCCTACATCTGACTATGCACTATGGTACACCTAGACAACCACTCAAAACTGTTTTTTAAATCATAAAAACCAGCTTTTACGCTCGAGGAATCTGGACAGCCATTCCCAGATCCTTATTTTAAAGGCCTTTTGCCTAAAGAGCACCCAATTCTCCCCCCACTGCTTCCGCAGGTAAAATTACAAAGTGTGAGCTGATCGCAGTAAACGACATTTACCCTCATAAGGATACTCACAGGCAAACTTTTTTTGGTTTTTGTTTGTTTGTTTCACATCACTAAATATACTAAGCTGCACCTTGAATTTATTCTACTGTCAAATATTTTACTTTACAGAAGCCCGGCTATAGAGTAACAAACTTATCAAGGAAGCATCACTTTGTAAAGTGTGCCAGGTGGGCTATACAGGTAGTAATAGCATTACTACGGAGGACGAAAAATAAGAATGCTGAACACATTTTTTTTCTCTACGCTGAAGATCAGTGCCCAATTGGCAGTGTCATTCTGACACTAGCTTTGATAGGACTTTCCTTTGGGATACTTTTTCACCATTATCTACACAGGATGTGTTGAACTGCACCCTTAAGAATGCAGACAGGACTGGCATTTAGCAGTACTGCTGTAGGAAAGAAATTAAGGACAGTTAGTACGGGCCGGTGAATGCTGACAATACATGTTTATCATCAATGACAGTTAAGCAAGTAAAATCCATATCCCTAGCAATCCATGCAGGCTGAAACACTTCCATTTACAAAAACCTGCAGCCAATCATGAGCTTTAACTGACAGGCGCTCTAAAGTCACCTGTCGAGCCGATTCACCTGAGGAAAGTTTCCATCAGGCTGGGCTAACGCCCCTTGCACTGACCTATATTCCAAAATGATCAGAAAAGACTTGAACTATTAAAAAAGTTTCAAAAGTTTCTTAAAGCTGCTTTTGCTTCACTTAGCTAAACTTCCTCGAATTGAGATTTCAAGAATCGACTGCTCTGGTCTGCCAGTTAGCAATGTTAAAAAGCAGTCATTCTTTTTCTTTTTTTTTTAAGTTTCTGATTTTGGATCGAATGCTTCCAAGTAAAGCGGAAGATTCTGCAGCACTAAATACACAAGTTGTATGAAGTACAGTAACATATAACCCAAAGCAAAAAGAAAAGAGAAACCTTTAACCCTTTGTGTTTCTATGGCAATGGCTCATTATTTTCTTGTCCTTCTACCTGGAAAGAAAATTTGTATTATCAAAGATGAACAAAATGGCAAACTATGATTTCAACCAACTCTTTAATAAACTATGCAAACTAAAAAAAAAATCCTAAATTTATAAGCATGCCAACAGAAATCAAAGGGCTAAAGATAAATTTAAGGGGGACAAATGGGTAAGGTCCAGTGAAAAAGTGAAAATAAGTTACCATCTGCAAAGGGATCAAGACGCTCGGGGGAAATTATCATCATCCGCCTGCGGTTTTTGTACTCATCTTCCCGATCGGCAATCTTCTGTGGGCGGTGTTCAGCAAATGGATCATACTGGGGGGGAAAAAAGTAAACATTTATCTCAAAGGTATGCAAACAAAACCACTCCCAGCCTCAAACCAGCTGACCAAGTAGAGCAAATCAGTCCCTGGAACCTGACTTCACAATGGAGGCAGGAGGGGAAAAAAGGAAGTGTGAGATTATCTCCTAGACTGGATCTTTCTTCTAAAATACCTTCCTTTGGGGATGGGGACCAGATAGCTGCCTGGGCCATTAGAGGGTAACAAGGATGGTGAATGACAGAGTTTTAGGCAATTTTTTTTAAAGGAAAGAGTATCCTACTCTTTTATAAGCAGGTCACAACATGGAGATTACTCTTCCTGTAAAAATGGTTTAAAATGGTATTTTGGGAAAATCAGCACATTTCCCCATTAAACTCTTATTTAAAGATTCCGTTTAATATTTGCTCAAACTGACGGAGCTCAGATTCTGTGAGATGGCCACTCAAAGGGAAACTCTTGGGAAAATTCACGTGAGAGTTTGAGTGGCGACCTGAACCCTACCTCGGATCGCAGCATGATTTTCAGATGTGGCACCCAGACAGAAATCGGAAGGCTTTTGCCATAAATCACTGCCTTCTCAATATTTTTGTCATCACAACCTGCTCCGCTACAGCTGAATAAGCAGGCCAGTTTCTGTATTTAAGAAGGATTTTAAAATATGGCAATTTGACTTCTGGGTCTCCTTCTGTCCAGTCTGACAAGCACCAGCTGTTACTAGCACATTTCATAGTAGCTCCCTTTGGTGAAGTCATTCTTCTAGCCTGCTATGTTCAAAAAGGGCTTTGGTTTGAAATACCTCTCATGATTCAGATAAGCGCCGCCATTGCAGAGCAAAACAAAGTTTGAGCCCAGTGGCACCTTTAAAACTTTGTCTTAAAGGTGCCTCTGGGCTCAAACTTCCTTCTGTTGCTTCAGACCAATATGGCTACACACCAGAATCATTACAGAGCAAGTTAACTGAAGTATAGGACTACGTAGAGACGTAAAAGAAACACTGCTATGAAATTCCATCAACTGAGCATTTACAATTACACACAAACTCAACGGTCAGAACAATATTACACCGGGGTCCCCAACATAGCGCCAATGGGCATCACAACGCCCGCCCACACCTTTCCAGGCGCCCACCACGTGTTTTCAGGAAGTGAGCAAAGCCAGACGGGCCTTTGGCTCAGCAAGGCTTCTGATTGGCTGTGCAGATTTTTAAAAAACTTTCCTTTGGGAGCAGCTGCAGCCACAGCACAAGAACCTTCACTGCAGTAAGCTGCAGCAGTCATTTCCTGGCTGGCTCCACCTCCCGGGCCAGCCATTTTGTGGATGAGCCCACTATGCTGTGTCAGAGCCCCAATGGTGGCAACAGCCTCAAAAAGGCTCGGGAGCCAGTGCTCCCCCTAAGCTGAGTGAGTGTGAGGTAGCTCGCGGTTGTTTAGCCTCCGGCTCACACATTTTTGCCTCTGCTCAGGAAGGGACGGCTCCAGAGCAAACTCATTGATGCAGCAGGCAAATGGCTCGCTCGCCACTTTAATGCCGGCAGCTCAATACGCAGAATTTTCGCTCACAAGACTCCGCAGCTTAGAGGGAGCATTGCTAGGGACCCCTGTTCTTCATGCGACACAATTAAGCTTTACACATAAAAATGTGGCATTAAGTCACAGTCAACCTCTGGCGACCTCGTAGGGTTTTCGAGGCAAGAGACGAGCAGGGGTGATTCGCCACTGCCTGCCTCTGCACAGTAATCCCCTGTCTTCCTTGGGGGTCTCCCGCCCAAGTACGAACCAAGGCCGACACTGCTTAGCATCAACGCTGTGGTGGGACTGGGCTAGCCTGGGCTGTTAGGCGGCTCAACTCAGTCTACACTGCTGAAATCCATGCCTGACTATCCTTCGAGAACAGTAAAGGGGGATATGTACCTGTTCCGTTGACTGTGGTATATCATTAAGCAATGCCACTGGGGCATGGTACCCTGGCTTCTTCTGGCCGAGCAAGCTTGTCGAGGAGTAGTCATCGTCATCCTAGGGGAGAACACAAAAGAACGTTTACTGATCGTTACTTTTTGCCATCAGATCGCAGCATCAAATTGCTTTGCCGTTAGGACCCACAACTGGTATGTAGATCTTAAACTATCCATACAACCCAACCAGCCAACCTGGATTTCTCAGGGTATTGGGACATATTGACAGTGATTGAAAAACTGAGAAGGCATCGGACTACTGAAAGCAGAGCACACCCGACACGAGACGTTACGGTCTACAACTCCCAACGCAATTTCTGAATGGATTCAAACAAGCATCGTGTCAGACTACCGCAGCAATCAGTTCCTGACAGCTTTCTTTCAAAGAAGTTTATTGAGAAATTGAGAGTATGCAGATATCTTAACCATTCCGTGTTAGAACTAAAATAGTGCAGAAAAGTGAATAGTTATATTTGAAGAGGCCCCGATGGCCCAGGGCCAATCAGGGACCAGGTAGAAGCCCGCCAAAATAACAGGCTACTTTTCCCAAGAGAAATGCTAAACCAGGCATTGAAGGTCATACAGAGATAACAGAAACACAGAAGACACCGCACTGCTGAAACCTAACATTCCAGAGACACCCCCACTCCCATGGCAGCCAGGGCTTGGAGAAGCCTAGCTGACACATCATACGTTAACGTGTACCCTCCTCGGACACAAACTGCTCTTTTTCAAGGACAGCTGTGCCAGAGCTTGTGACTGACCCAAGGTCACATCAGCAGGTGCAAGTGGAGGAGTGGGGAATCAAACCCGGTTCTCCCAGATTAGAGTCCGCACACTTAACCACTACACAAAACTGGCTAATAGAGATAATAGAAACACTCCCATGGCAGCCAGGGCTTGGAGAGGCCTAGCTGACACATCATACATAAGGTGTGCCCTCCTCATCTCCGTTATAAACAGCACAATTTGAGGTTCGAGCACTGCCTCTGCTACAGAAATCTGCAGATCCGGTTGGACTTATGTGTGAGATTTACAGGACTGCAAATGCAGGTATGTGCTAACATGAAGTACTAGTCCCAGCTACCAGCAACCCCCACGTAAAAGCCAGGGCATAGGTTCTCCCCGCCCCCCGCCTCCAGATGAATGACTGCAGCTCCTTCACTCATTCATTCATAGACCATTAATGGCATATCATCAGTCAAAAAACAGATTAGAACATTGTACCATAAAAATTAAGGTCTAGGATTCCATATAAATTAGGTGCAGTCAAGAATAGCACTTAGAACATTGTACCATAAAAATTAAGGTCTAGGATTCCATATAAATTAGGTGCAGTCCAGAATAGCACTATCTAAAATTTTGTACTTTAAGAACTTCTATGAGAAATTCGGCAACACACCACTGGTGGTCTCGGGGGCCAAGTCACTCAAAAGAAACTGGCATTTTGACTTACTACTCAGATAATATTTGGGATGAAGCCAAGTTGAAAGCAATTTTTCATGAGGTGAATCATATAGGGGACATACGACCATTAAATGCTCAATTGTGTCCAGGGAGTTAAGACCACAAGGACACAGCCGTTCTTGCCATGGAATCTGATGGTGTCTGCCACGGAGTATTCCTTCACTTGTTTCCACAAAAAACAATGCAAATTATTTCTTTCAGTGAATAAATATACACACACATCACCCATAATGCTGGCAGACACCATCCTAGTAACTGCCACCCAAACTCTTTTCTCTTTCCCGTGGAAACACAGGCTACGCCATTTTTGAGTAACTGCAATTGCAAATACAGCCGAATCTTGGTTTCGGTAACAGTCTGCTGAAATGCACTTACATCCTCTAATTCAGTTGCAGCAATCGAAGTTACGTATCCAGCAAACCGGCTATCGCTTCCGCCGTAGATCTCTTGATCATAGTATCCTGTCGAGTCAAGGCCGACTCCTTGAGCTTCATCAAGGGCGACTTTTTTGCCTTGAATTTCTCGAATCTGTGCTTCGATATCTGTATGAAAGTATAAGCAATTTTTTTTTTTACATATTTTAACAATATCAGATTTATGGAGCATTTTAAGACAGGATACAGACAGCTTTAAAAGGGGATTGGATTGGATACATTCATGGAGAATAAGTCTATGGCTACTAGCCATGGTGGCTGACCTCCACCTTCAGACGAACGAATCCTCTGAATCCCAGAGCCAGGAGGCAACATCAGTGGAAGGCCTCGGCCTCTCTGCCCTGCTGTTGGCCCTCCAGAGGAACTGGTTAGCCACTGTATGAGACGGGATGCTGGACTAGAAGGGACCAGTGGTCTGATCCAGCAGGGCTCTTTGTATTTTCTTATATCAAGCATTTCTGTAATCTTTATTTTCCCCAAGGCATACTAAAATGGAAGTCTAGTGACAGTCATGCCTGTCCACACAGAATGTCAGGAGCCATTAATGAAGAAGTAATTTTACTACTCTAGTAGTCCGTTTCCAGCAGGAAATACTGTCAGATGCCTTTGCATTTTCCAACAGATCTTGCAATGAGAATCAAATTCTGGCAGTCCCGCTGCAGGTCTTCCTAACACCACAGGCACTGGGGTTGGCAGGATTACACTCACAAATCCCTGCATTTCTACAACACAGCCTTTGCTAGAGCTTTATCGGAGCTGAACACTTTGAGTGTTACAATGCATCAGGAGGAGGAGGAGGGGGAGACTGGTTTTATCCCCCCCTTCACTCAGAGTCTCAGAGCAGCATGCAAACTCCTTCCCCTCCCCAAAATAGACACCCTGTGAGGTAAGGTGGGGCTGAGAGAGCTTTTTTGAGAACTGCTCTTTCAAGAACAGCTCTGACAGAACTTGTGACTGACCCAAGGTCATCCAGCAGCTGCAAGAGGAGGAGTGGGGAATCAAACCCGGCTCTCCCAGATTAGAGTCTGCGCACTTCACCACTACACCAAACTGGCTCTCAGAAAAAATAAATTTTGTCTTTTTATATACTTATATATATTAAAAGGTTCTATTTCAAGCAAAGGCTTCCCCCTCTCCCACACAGATTTTACATTAAAGGTCTCCACACAACAGGCCAACACCCCTCCCCAGGTTTCATCACACAGGCAGGAACGGTGAGGGGAGAAGAGGCTCCAGAGTTCTATTAACTTTTCAGTTTCAAGTCCAAAGACTTCTGGGAACTGACCCAGCACAATGGTCCCAATTAAGACTTGCATGGATGTTGGCAAGAGTGCCCACTTGCCAGCCAGTGCCCACAGCTATTTTTTCCTCCAACCGTCAACAAGGTAAGAGATCCCGAGAGGTGATTTGCCACCACCTCCCTCTGTGCGGCGACCCTGGACTTCTTTGGTGGCCCCCCCATCCGAGTACTGGCCAGCCCCAGCCCCCGCCCCCAGCTTCCGAGATCTGACTAGCCTGGGCTATCCAGTTCAGGGCTGGCATCCAATAAAATTATACAAAGATTACTGTTCCAAGATCATTTACACATATTTCTTTCACAGTTGACGGCTCAGGGACAAATTCAGATCTAAATCACTTCATACACCAGCACAGTTCACATTTGCTGTAACTATCCCACCGGTTCCCGGACACTGATAGCTTGAGGCAACTCCCAAGGGTTCAGCACACACAAGCAGGAACTAACACAGAAGCAGTTTCTTCCTCTTCCGCACTCTGGAACTCAGATGACCTCACGTCTGAACTCCACAGCGTAACGGTGCAGCTCATTTTATTCATTTACAAAATCTATATCCCCCCTTTTCTGTCCTCACAAAGGGCCACCCAAGGCGGCTAACGTTTTAAAACATAGATGATAAAAATCACTTTAAAAACCATTACAATGAACCCGCCCCAACATGCATTATGAAAACAAAATTAAAAACAGAGTTTAAATACGTACTAAGACATAAAAACAGCAGTTAAAACGTTCATCTTTTACATCTTTTACTCGCAACCTCATTTGGAATACTGTGTGCAGTTCTGGTCACCACATCTTAAAAAGGATATTATAGCTTTGGAAAAAGTGCAGAAAAGGGCAACTCGAATGATAAAAGGGTTGTAACACTTTCCCTATGAGGAAAGGTTAAGGCGCTTAGGGCTCTTTAGCTTGGAGAAACGACGACTGAGGGGTGAGATGATTGAGGTTTATAAGGTCATGCAGGGGATAGAGCAGGTAGAGAAAGAGGTACTTTTCTCCCTTTCTCACAAGACAAGAACTCGTGGGCACTCCATGAAATTGCTGAGCAGTCGGGTTAGAATGGATAAAAGGAAGTACTTCTTCACCCAAAGAGTGATTAACACGTGGAATTCACTGCCACAGGAGGTGGTGGCGGCTACAATCATGGACGGCCTCAAAAGGGAATTAGATAAGCATATGGAGCAGAGGTCCATCAGTGGCTATTAGCCACAAGGTATAGATAGGGACTCTGGGGCAAGTGATGCTCTGTCTTCTTGGTGCTTGGGGGGGTCAACAGTGGGAGGGCTTCTAATGTCCTGGCCCCACTGGTAGACCTCCTGATGGCCCCTGGTATTTTTGGACTGTGTGATACAGAGTGTTGGACTGGATGGACCTTTGGCCTGATCCAACATTGGCGTCTCTTATGTTCTTAACTTTGTGACAGCCGTACAAGTCTTGTCAGTAAAGAAAAAACCCATCTAGAAACTGCAAATTTTAAGTAATTGTTGTCATTTCCAATGCAAGGTTACACTATTCTAATGAAGACAGACCAAGACGGGTAGCCTCATTAGTCTGTCTATACCACTAGAAAAGAGCAAGAGTCCAGTAGCACCTTAAAGACTAACAAAAATTTCATTTCTGGGGAACATGGTGACCTGATGAGCACTTTCAAAGGCCTCTGAGTGCTTTCTTGCTACGGGGTGAACAATGCCAGGGAAAGGAGGAATTTACTTCTCTATCCTTACCTCTCCCTCAGAGAGGAGACCCAAATGACAGGTGAATCCATGGGGGGGGGGGCTTGCTAAATCAGGTTTCCACTCTGGTTCTGGAAATATCAATGGGAGCTGAGACAAGGAAGGCTTTCTGCTGATGTCAGCCAACCACAACTGATCCCTTTCCCTCTCGCTTTTTAAAAAAAATCAATCTGGATTCAGCAATCTCTACAATAGTTTGGACTCCTGGAACTGCGATTGTAATTGGAAAGACTGGCAGACTACCAGCAGCGTTTGAAGTCAGCTTCCAATATATAAGGGTAAGAGGGACCCCCTTTGAAAATTTATGGCTTCTGGAGCAAGGCTTCTGTTAAACTTTGATCTTTAACTACAGCTACTCAGCAAGAGATTTATGTAACCAGTTTTAAATAACTTTATTTTGGCTGAACTGCACTTGGGGCTGCTTTCCAAGCTAAATAAGAAGGGGGGACCTGCGATACCAAGCCTTCACCCCGGCCCCAGTGGTGCGGCCTGAGTGGCTCCCAGCCACTGGATCTACCGATCTCCTCCCCACCGGGCGCGGCCTGAGCAGCTCCCAGCAGCCGGGCCCGCCAATCTCCTACCCCCCCTGGCTCCAGCAGTACGACCTGAGCGGCTCCCAGCCTCCGGGCCAGCAGAGTCTCCCCCCCAACGGCCAGAGCATTTTCTGCGCATGCACAGGGAACGCTCTTTTACTTTCTGGGGGATTTAAGTATCCCCCATATATTTTTTTCAACTTTTTAGATTTTTCTGCGCACCTGGAGACTGCTCCAAGTGTGCAGGAAAATCTCCCTGCCCCCCAAGTGCCCCCAATGTGTAGATTTAGATATCCGCACGGAGGGGGCAACTTGGCTATTAGATAAACAGATAGGTAAGTGAAGCTCTTTTTTATTATCTACTCTGCGGAATATACAATTGGTCATTTCAATTTTTACTCTTTCATATTCCCCACCATCTTTGGTGAAAGACATTTGTTTGAAGTGTTTAGTGTTTCATCTCTGATATGGTGCAGCGGGGATTTAAAACCTCCATTTTGCCAGACAGTCTGCTCCTCGGAAAGACAAGACTTATTCATTTTCCTCTGTTACATATTTTCCAATTTGGGCACCTTTTTTCAAATTCCCCAGAGAGAAAAATAAGAAAATGGGGGGGGGGGGGGAGATCTGAAGACCTTAGATGAATCAACGTAATAGAAAACAAAGCTAAGACGCCACTGTTTTTTCCTTCTATTTCCTTGTCCCCTCCTTCTCCCTCCACTATCCCCCTTCTCATTTATCACCTTTCCACCCTGCTTTACAAAATTTGAATAGGAAAAAAAAAAGTTCTGTTGGTGAAGAAGAAGAAATTGGATTTATACCCTGCCCTTCACTACCTGAAGGAGTCTCAGAGCGGTTTACAATTCTCCTTTCCCTCCCCCTCACCACAACAGACACCCTGTGAGGTCGGTGGGGCTGAGAGAGCTCTGAGAGAACTGCCCTTGAGAGAACAGCTTTGAAAGAACTTGTAACTGACCCAAGGTCACACCGGCAGCTGCATGTGGAGTAGTGGGGAATCAAGTCCGGTTCTCCCAGATTAGAGTCTGTGCTCCTAACCACTATATCAAACTGGCTCTTTTAGGATTGTGATTTAATGATCAGAAGATAAGCTACTTTTCTCATTTATACTATATTCATCCAACACTCATTTCTTGCTACATTTAGCTCTTTTTTATAAGAACCGTAGATAATACCTTTTTATTTTAATGGACATATACTTTAGCTGAGTTACTGAAATAGTATAAGAACATAAGAACATAAGGGAAATAATATACGGAAAGCATGTATAATATTTTTAAAACGAGAAGACCAAACAGGAAAATGGCAACAAGAACACATCAAAGAGAAAAATAAAAAAGAGTACAGATGAAACAGACGAGGACCAGAGAACTGAAGATATGGTGGGGAAATTATCATGGACATGTGGTGCACCAAACACAACAATTTGAAAAAAGAACTTAAAAAGACCATTTAATATTCAGAGAAAAGAACCTTAAAGAATATTCAGAGTATTCAGAGAAATATTCAAGAATCTCCAGAAGAACA